ACCTCAACAAAGCCATCCCAGACACTCGCCTCACCATCAAGAAGTACCTGGACGTGAAGTTTGAGTACCTAGTGAGTGGTCTCCGGCCCCTGGGGAGGGACGAGTCTGGCATGCTGGGGAGAGAACCGACCTAGGGATTTCCCCCTCCGTTGGCCACAGGCTGGCAAGCAGGATGGGGCTGGAACCTCTGTCATGTCTGATTGAGGATGTGGGACCGGGACCTGCAAGTCCTGGCCAGTTGGGCGGCAGCCAAGACCCTTCCCCGACTGCTCAGAGGAGCCTCTGGGAGCCCGGGGTAGGCAGAGCGCTCACTCTGGACCCCTCTGACCCCTTGGGGGTCACTTTTACAATGGGTCAGTGGTTATGAAGTGGGTGCCAAGGGACATTACTGAGTTTTTTTCCTGGAAGATTTTACTTTATTTATTTATTTATTGAGAGAGCGCGTGAGTGGGAAGAGGGGCAGAGGGAGAGAATCTCAGGCAGACTCTGTGCTAAGTGTGGAGCCTGATGCAAGGCTCAGTCTCATGACTCTGAGGTCACGACCTGAGCCGAAGTCAAAAGTCAGACACCCAACCCACTGAGCCACTCAGGCGTCCCTGGACATTTTTGAGTTTTATGCTGAAATAAAAATTCTCATGGTCAAAGGAGTTGAGGGGAAATGCCCCAACAAGCCAGCCAAGGCTCCTTTGCTGTGGGACTTCTCAGCGCCTTTGACGGGCTTGTGTGCCACGTGACTCTTCAAGGGCCTTCCCACGTTGTTTTGACCACAGAGTCCATTTCAACCCAGAGCATTACTTGGGACTTGAGTTTGGTAAACACTGGGCTGTTTCTCAGGCCCTTGCCACCCTCCCAGATGAGTGACCTGTCCTGCACGCTGCCCCCCTCGCCTTGGGCCTCCCCGGGCAAGGGCTAGTCCGGGTGAGATGCCAGCCCCCGGGACGGGTGTCAGCCTATCCCAGTTGAGCGCATGCAGGGCCCGGGCCCAGACCTGGCATGGCTGCCCCCAGGCAGGGCTTAGGGGTCCTGTGGGGCATGGAAAGAAGTGGGGCATCAGGGGGAGCACCCAGGAGGCGCAGCCCGTCTGACATTGTGGCCTCGTTGTCCCACACAGTCCTACTGCCTGAAGGTGAAGGAGATGGACGACGAGGAGTACAGCTGCATCGTGAGTTTTCAGGGGCGACTGGGGGGTGGCCCTGGTGCTGGAAAGTCTTGGCGTGTACACACCTTCCCCAGCTTGTCTCAGAGGCCCACAAATGTCCAGGGGCTGCCCGGGGCGCTGGGTGGCTCAGGCCAACCTTGGAGAGGCCCGGGCATCTGGTTGAGCTCTTGTTCTGGACGTGTGGGGCTATCCGTTCCCACCCCGGCCCCCCCTGGGCCTCGGAGTGCGGCCATCTCGCTGCGGGGCCACTCCCCCAGGCTTGGTGAGGCTGACTTTCCTCACTCCTAAGAGGCATTTCTAATCCTCTACATTTTTAATATTTTTGATGGCAGGATGATTCCCCTTAGCACTAAATATTCATTATTTAACGTGCACGGGTGTGGTCTTTTGTTTTCTTCACAAAGAATAAGTGCTTCTGGCAATCAGAAGTGGGGGACCAGGGGTGTGGTGTGGCGGTGTGAGCTGGGAGCTGGTGTCTGTCCCAGAGCGGGCTCCCCCTCCCCGCCTTCCCACCCGGCCGGGGTTCTGATGTGTTCCCCTCCCCCCTCCCGCGCCCCAGGCCCTGGGGGAGCCCCTGTACCGCGTGAGCACTGGCAACTACGAGTACCGCCTGATCCTGCGCTGTCGCCAGGAGGCCCGCGCCCGCTTCTCCCAGATGCGCAAGGACGTGCTGGAGAAGATGGAGTTGCTAGACCAGAAGCACGGTGAGGGGACTAGGTGGTCACTGGGGGCCAGACACGTGTGCCCAGCCCACGGCCTCTGCCACCCTTGGGCTGGGGTGGGTGGGTACCGCCTTCTCCCCCTTTCAGAGCTGGGAAAACGGCGGCCCCGAGAGGTGAGGAACCTACGTGCAGTTCCAAGGCCCCGCCATGGGAGAGCTTTGAGTCTGACCCAAGATGGGAAGCTCTGGCGGGAACGCCCCCACCCCCTCAATCCCCGCCTGGGGTCTGGCTTGGGTGGGACTGGCCCGTGCCCTGGGGGCGCAGCGGGGCGCCGTCCACAAGCTCTGCGCTGGGCTGGGCTGCCCTGGCCTTGCCCACTCCAGCGGCGTGGGGGTCGCCGACGGCGCGCTGGGCAGCCCAGGGGCAGGGGGCGGGACCGGGCAGGCCTGGGGGTGGGGCTTCTCCACCAGCGCCCGTGTGCCCGTCCGCCCCAGTCCAGGACATCGTGTTCCAGCTGCAGCGCCTCGTGTCCACCATGTCCAAGTACTACAACGACTGCTACGCGGTGCTGCGCGACGCCGACGTCTTCCCCATCGAGGTGGACCTGGCGCACACCACGCTGGCCTATGGCCTCGGCCAAGATGAGTTCACTGACGGGGAGGACGAGGAGGACGAAGACGACGAGGACACGGCAGCCGGGGAGCCGTCCAGGGACGCGCGAGGGGCTGCCGGGCCCCTGGACAAGGGTGGGAGCTGGTGTGACTCCTGAGTGCCCCCCCCAGGGTGCGGATCTGGGGGGTAGGGGGAGTGGGAGTACGGAGCACGGGAGCGGGGGCGGGGCCGCCGCCCGCATAAAGGCCTGCTGGCTTGGGGCGCCTGCCTCCCTGCTCCTCTGTCCTAGCACAGCGACCCCAGGCTCCTGCTCAGGAAAGTCCCTGGGCCCAGGCCTGGGACCTGGACTCTGGACACCCCCCTCCCCTCCCCGCCTCCCCAGCCAGATGGAGAGCTTGGCCCCTGGAACTGCCTTAGGAAGGAGAGTGGGCGCAGAGAGGAGGAGGGGCTGGAGGTGGCAGGCAGTCCGGGACCCATTCCCTGTGGGCACCAGCACTGGCCCCTCCTGGAACCTGCTGGCGTGGGGGCCCGGGGGCAGGCCGCCGAGGTTGGGGGCAGTGGCCGTGTGCCCCCTCAGCTCACCCCAGGCCAGCCCCCGCCCTGCCCACACTCACTCCCCAGTGGCCTTTGTTCATTCGCTTCTCCCGGCTCAGCCGCTTCCTGGGGCAGGGCCGGGCCCTGGGCCTGTACTGAATAAACAGCAGCCCAGACGGAGCGGCTCCTTGCGCTGGCCTCACACCCTCCTCGTGCCCTCGACGCCCCGTCTGCCCCTCCCTGGTCCTGAGGGAGGGCGGGATCGATGTTCCCTTCGGACCGATCACTTCTTCCTTGCCGCAGCTCTGTGAACTGGCGCTACTGTCCCCACGTACAGACAGGTGACCGAGGCTCTGGCTCAGGGCCACCCGGCGTCCAAGGACAGAGAGGGATCTGGACTTGAATCTGGCAGGTCCCAGAGACCCCAGGTTCACTCCTTCGTGGAGCCTCTTCCCTCCTCCTTCACCTTTGATCTGCCCGGGCTTGTGGCCAGTGGCTCTGCTGTATTTGGGAAGGGCAGGACAGACACCGAGGCCCATTGAGGGGAGAATGTCAGGGGCGCCCCCACCACTCTAGGCACACCCATTCCGCCGCTGTGAGGGAAGGCCAGCGGAGAACGCAGCCCCAGTGCTCTTTTGTCTTTGCAACATGGGCGAAATAGGTTGGCTGTGTCTCCCGCCAGCTGTGCGGTCCCTGTTCACACCTGCGGTCCCCACGTAATCATCGGTGGCCCTTTTCACTTCCAAAGTGTCTCTGAACAATGACTTCCACGCGCATCCTGAGAAGGGGAGGCCGCAGGAAGCTGTGGGGTGGGCAGGGTCTAAAATGGGAGGAGGGGGAATGGCTTTCAGCTTGTCGGCTTTGAGGACGTGGGGCGTGGGCAGCAACCCGGATGGGACTGTCAGCGGGACTGGGAGCGTGGAAGGAGGAACAGGCTGTCACTAGGTCCCCTGGAGCGGCCAGTCCAGACCACTTCTCTGAAGGAACTGCCAGCGTAGAGGCCAAGGGCACAGACTGCAACCCGCTGCTGGGTTCTAGTCACAGCCTGTGTGACCCTGGGCTACTCCCTAACCTCTCTGTGCCCCAGTTTCCCTATTCGTGCCTGTGGCCAGTAATGGTCCTGACCTCCTTGGGCTCTTACGAGCATCTGATGAATTCACACTTGTGAAGGGCCTAACCGTGCGCGGTACACGGTCCCTGCCCTGAGTGTTTAATAAAATGTCGTCACTGCTGTGGTGACTCAGGGATGCAGACCTGCGTGTCAGCCCGGCATTTCCCAGGGCTCCCACACCTTCGTAGGGCCCGGATGGAAAATGAGACCAACAGTGGGGAGCGGTGGGGGGCACTGGTGGGATGGGCTCTCCTGAGCCCCCGGCTCGATAGCAGGGGTCGGGGCGGGGCGGGAAGCTCCCTCCTACTCTTGGGCCTGGTTTCCACACTCGAGACTTGGAAGGAAGGAGGCAAAGGAAGGGCAAGGTGTCAGATCTGTGGGAAGAGAATAAATACGGAGAGGGAATAGATCCCAGAGGCTTTCCAGCCAGGGTGAGACCGGGGCGCCCTGCCCTTGGATCCAAGTGTAAGAGGGCAAAACTGCAAGAGAGACCCTTAGTGCCTCCAAGTCAGAACACCTCCCCCTCCACGCCCCTTCTTCCCCTCTGCCACTTGTTCCCCCAACACCTTCCCTGTCAGAGGGCCCTGGGGAGAGCCTCTCAGACTCCCTTCTATCCTCCCACCCCCACAGCCACCAGAGCTGGGAGGCACAGGAATGGACCCGCTGTCCCAAACTGAGTTTTATGAAGTTCAGTTTCACAAGGTCAAGCCCAGGCCACGCGCAGCAGCATCACTTAGCCAGGGTGGGGCCCGGCCATGGCCCACTGGGCAGATAAAGGTGGGAGCCCCCCCACCCCGACCCCAGGGGGGGGGCCACGGCAAAGCAGCTTCCAGTGTGCCAGGCCCACTTGGGACAGCTGGGGCTCTTGGAGGGTAAGCCCCATTCCCAAAGTCACCAGCCGCCTCGCCTGCTGCCCCTGGGGCTATACAGACTTGGGGTCCAGCCCTGGCTCTGCCTCTACCTCTGGTTCCGTGGGCCCAGCCCCGGGGCTTGGCACCTCCCAGGCTTTGAGGCTGCCAGGCTCCTCAGCCCCAGTGGGCAGAGCCCCAGAGTCCCCTTTGGCCTCAGCATCCTCGGTGTCGCTGGCCTCGCCCTCGGTGCCTTGGCTGGGCTGGGGGTTCCGAGAGCGGCGCAGGCAACAGCTGGTGGCGACAGCCATGAAGACCCCGGCCAGGACCACCTCAGAGCCAGCCAGGTAGAAGATGATCTCGTAGTTCTTCAGGGCATCCACCAGGCGGCCTGGGATGGAGGGAGGCGGGAGATGAGGGCCTGTAGGGGGTGGGGGGGGACCCCACCTTCCCCCCTTTCTCACAACCTCAGATAAAGGACCGTGTGCACCCTCAACTTGGTGGGGTTTACATTTGGGTGACACAGACACGCCCCCATCTTTATGCCCGTTTGACAGTGGCGACCCCACGCACGTTCTGCCATTTGAGACCTTAAAAATGTCACCACCTCCTTGAACCTCAATTTCTTAAGTGATATAGGGCCTTTGGTGAGGCAGCACTTTTCAGGTTACAAGGCACCCCCTCCACCCCCAGACCGAGACCCCACATGTGCCGTGTGATTTGCCCAGCGAGCAGGTGGGGAGGGGGCACTGGGCTCAGCCTCACCCTCCTGGGGGCCCCTAACGCCTGCTCTTTGCTGCTAACACCCCTGGTCTTCAGGGGCCTGGCTCAGCTTTCTTTCCGTCTCCCTCCCCAGCCTCCTCCTGTCCCTTCTCGGGGCTCCGATACCCTAGACTGAGCTTCCACTACTGTGAGCTGGCATGGTAGGACTCATGGGTCACAACCCGTCTTTTCCCCTCTGTATTTTCCAAATGTTCTATCCACACGCATATTACTTTCATACACAGGAAAATCTTGTAATTGCAATATCCCCCCCCCAAGTGTGGGGGAGCTCTGTGGGCTCCATCCTCTCCTGGCATTTTTGTCGCTGACCATCCAGGCTGTGACCCCTTGGTCTATAGCTCTGTGGCTTCAGGGAGGCTTCCCGGTGTCCCCCAAGCTGGCTGCCTGCCTGAGCCCCTCTGAGCACTGCACCCAAACTTTCCTCCCTGGTCCCCGCCCAGCCAACCAGTCCTGTCCCTGCCCCTCCCACACTCAGCCCTGCAGTGTTCTCCACCTTCTCACCCCCTATTAGATCCGCCCACCCAGGTCGCATGAGAAAATGGAAGAATCCCTGAGCCTCTGGGGAGCTGGTTCGATTGCTTTTGGTGGTGGGCTTGGCCGCCCTCCCACTGAGATCAGATGACAAAGCCTGATGAGGACATTGAGCTAGACCAGCCGTGGAAGGAGGGGCAGTTCACCCCATCTCAGGGGCAGCCTGGGCCCCAGCAAAGGCGGCCTCCCCTCATTGCTCATCCCACAGGCTGACCACAGGCAGGCTATGCTGGGACAGGGACAACCCGCCAACCCAGGAGGACCCTGACATCCCCCCTTTCCAAGCTCAGTTCCTGCCTCACTTGTATAGGAACCCTGAACCCCTAATGTGGCCCACACTGTCCCATGTCCTCTCCTGCGGGGTCTGCACTGCCCTGTGAGGCTGCCTGCATGCCGGCCCCTGCAGCTCCTTTCCTGGCCTGTCATCATGGTGACTTCCTAAGGCCAGTGACTGGAGAATGCCCTGCGGGCCATGCACACAGCGGAAAGCCCAGAGCCTGTCCCTGCACAGCAGCTTCACCAAGTGAGAGCAGGGCCTGGCCATGGCCCAGTGGACAGATGAGGGAGGAAGATCCCCCCTAGGCCCCAGGGAGACCACTCGTGAGCACCCTGAGCACCCCCACTCGGCTCACGGCCGGTTCCTCCACGACACTGTCCCTGTCCTGGTCCCGCTTAGAGGCTGAGGACACTCAGCTGCCGTGTTCCAAAGGTAGGGGCATTTAGCCCTGGGCAGGGCTCTGCTCTCACTCTGGGACCACCCTGTACTAGGCGCCTGTGCCTCAGTTCTCCCACCCACAAAACGAGAATAAGAATCTGCCCTTCACAAGGACTTTGTGCCAGCGTTTGAGATGACCCAATGGGTCAGCAGCTGTCAGTGCTGGGTTCTTCCTGGCATCTTTCCCGGTGCTTGCGGCCCCACCCAGAGCTAGCAGGACCGGCTTGGAGGAGGGGCTCATTAGCCACGGGAAGACCCCACCAGGCTGCCTCCGCTCCCTTGCCCTCATCCCTGGAAGCTCCACGTGGGACAGGGCTGGCACTCCCCCCCCACCCCACCCCCGGTCTAGGGAACTAGCCCCGCACCCCCTCCTCCCAAGGGGCGCACCAGCAGAGGGCGGTCCAATGAGCACAGCCACGGCCTCGACCAGCAGCACCAGGCCCAGCGCACTGGGGAAGCGGTGCGAACCCACGGCTGCCATGAGCACCTCGAACTGCAGCGCGCCCACCATGCCATACGAGAGGCCGAAGGCGACGCAGAAGGCGACGAGGGCGCCGTAGGAGCGCGCGCGCGCGCTGCTCAGGTCCGTGAGCCCGTTGGCCATCAGCGCCAGGCTGAAGAGGTAGGCGACATGGGGTCGTAGGCGCGCCAGGCCCGCCAGGGCCCCGCACGCCGGCCGTGCCACGATGTCGACGAAGCCCACGATGGACAGCAGGAAGGCGGCGTCGGCGTCCGGCACGCCCGCGTCCTTGGCGTAGTTCACCAGCAGGATGGCGGGCACGAAGAGCCCGAGCGCCATCAGGAACTTGGTGACGGCGTACACCCCGAAGGCGCGGTCGGCGCACACGGCCACGTCCAGCAGGCGCCGACGGGGACGACCGCCAGGGGGCGCCTCGCGCAGCCGCAGCCCCCCGCGCTCCGCCTCCGCGTCCCCCGGAGCGTCGTCCGCGCTGTCCCGGCGAAGTCGCGGGCCGGGCCCCGGCGGCGGCGGGCGCATGACGGCGCCGCACGCGCAGCAGTGCAGCAGGAGACCGCCGAGCAGCAGGAAGCCGCCGCGCCAGCCGAAGTGCTCGAGCAGCTGCTGGCCCAGCGGCGACAGCGCCGACAGGAACACCGGGCTGCCCGCCGCAGCCAGCCCGTTGGCCAGGGGCCGCCGCCGCTCGAAGTACAGCCCCAGCATGATGAGCGACGGCTGGAAGTTGAGGGCCAAGCCCAGGCCTGCGGGCGAGGGCGGCGCTGTGCCGGGCTCCCCGAGGGCGCCCCCAGCCCCAGCCCCCAGCCGGAGGGAGGGGCCAGGCCCCGACGGGGCGGGCCCACCACCTCTGGAGGGGAAACTGAGGACAGGAGACCTTGCAGCGAGGACTCCGCCCGGCTCCCCAACCCGCGAGACCAGCCCCTTCCCCGTAGGGGAGGGAGTCGTGGCCGTCCTCACCTGTGAGCACCCCGGCGGTCAGGTACAGCTCCAGGAGGCGCGTGGCGAAGGATGCCAGGACCATGCCCGCCGAGGCCAGCAGCCCACCCACCAGCATCACGGGACGACAGCCAAAGCGGGTCACGAGGATGCTGGAGACCGGACCTGTGGGCAGGGCACGGTCACCGCTTAGGCTGGACTAATCTCTCTCCCCGGCGCACTCCAGGCTGGGCACATCCCAGCCCCCAGAAGATGGCATGAAGGGATGAGGGCACCCGCGGGTCAGAGAGGACAGTGTCTGCCCAACGTCACCCAGCCTGGCTGGGACAGACCAAGGAGGCAACACCCTGCGGGGAGGTAGGGGAGGGACCTGTCTTGTTCTGGGGAGGCCCATCCCCAACTCTCCTGAGAACAGGGGACCCAAAGCAGAAGAGGCTGACGCCCCTCGCTTTTGATCTGCCCAGCTGGGCGCGTCCCCTGGACTGCTCAGCCTCTTTCCACCCCTTCCTCCCACCACCCCCCCCATGCGGCTCGGCTGGGGTGACAGGATTCACCCCATCCCCGCGCACCCCACAGGCGGTTAGGGCGCCGGGGAGGAGGGATAGCGGGGAATTTTATTTACATCTGTTTCCCCACCTGTAACAGAAGCTGTTGTAGGTCTTTGGCAGGAATGGAGGGGCCCTGCCGGCTGGCCAAACCTACCCCCATTCAGCCACCGCCCCCTTCCTGTCCCCCTCCTCCCCTGTCTCCCGGACCAGCGCTTCCACGGGAAGAAGGTGGTCTCTGTGCTCTTCCCGAGGGGTCTGGGGGGTGCCCAGGGGGTCCGCGTCTCCTGGTCCCAGATCCCGTCTCCCAATCCTGGGCTGGGGGAGGAGGAGCAGGGACCCGCGAGGGGGCGCTGACCGGTGCCGTAGAGCATGGCGAGCATGATGGAGGACACCCAGGCCGTGTCGCTGTAGCCCGCGCCGAAGTCGCGCATAAGCGCGCGGAAGAAGACGCTCACGGCCTTGGGGAAGCCGTAGGCGAAACCGGTGACCACGAAGCAGGCGCCCAGCACGGCCCAGCCCCAGCCACCGTCTGGGGGTCCCGCGCCCCGCCGGGGGCCGCCAGCGCCCATCGCTGCTGCCTCTGCTGGTGGAAGGGGACAAGAGGGAGCAGCGAAGTTCTGTAGCCCCGACAGGAAAGGGGAAGGAGACCCAGCGTGGGAAAACTGAGGCATGGGGACTACCGACGTGAACCCTGCTCTGGGAGCGAGCCAGGAGGGAAACCGAGGTAGAACCGCCCCCCGCCCCAATCTCCCCCTCCTTCAGGGGACCTGTGAAAGAGGAGGGGAGGATAATAGAAGGGTTCCCACCTGAGTCCGAACTTCAAGAAGACGCCCCTGGAGGACACTCCTTGTCTAGGGACCTAATGGCGGCCGGAGAGGGGGTGCTGGTGAGTGGGGGGGGGGCACTGTGGGCCCCCTGTGCGTGGGAACCATCAGCGTTCCCAGGGTACACATGTGAGGGTCTCAGCGCAGGAATTTACAGGGGGCATGGGGCGGGCAGGGGCAGCCCCGCGCCTGCTGCAAAGTGGGTGGCTTTATTTGGCTCCTGGGCCTTGCTATATGTTCATTTTTCTCAATGATCAGAAATGACTATTGTCATCAGAGCATTGTGGAAAAAACAAAAAACCCAAGACCTGCCGTAATAACATTAGCCTCGCTTCAGGAGCCGCGGGGGCTGAGCTCCCGTTCATCCCCTCTTAGCCATGGGTTCCCTCCAGGACTTGGGCAGGTCCCTTCCCGCGCTGAGCCTGTTTTGCCTCCTGCAAGATCGGTGACCAGTTACCCACCGGGGCCAACCAGGAGCCTTGGCGGGGGGGTGCTCAGATCTCTGGTTCCACTGGGACCTTTGAGGCGGCACTAAAGGGACCTTCTGATCTCCAAACCCCTAGAAGCCCCCCCCAAACCCCTCCAAAAGTAGAAAACAGCTCCGAAGTCTCTCACACTTCTGGAGCTCCAGCCTGGGGTTCACACAGCAGCCTCCTGTGCATCCCCCCACCAACAGAGGAGTGGGGGGTGCTCACGGGCAGGGTGGGCCAGCCCACAGCTGGGGAAGGAGCCTCCTTCCCTCCTGCTGCCCCTCCGCTCCTAGGTCTCCCTCCTGGCCCTGGGCAGTGCCAGGTGCCCAGGGGGGATTGGAGACTCTGACCCTCTCTCGCCAGGACCAGGTTCTGGCTTTATCTGCCTGTTGTCCCCTCACCATGGCCGCAGCCACTTGAACTAGGACAAGGAGGCAGTCCCGGCAGCTCTCCCCTGCACTCACCTGAGCCTTCCGGTGGGTTTGAATGTCCAGCCTCACATCTCCTGAGGCCTCCCAGGAGGGGCTGCCCTGCTGGCTCCCCCTGGGAAGCCTAGCCTTATGGGGGCACGCAGCCGAAGGCCCCAAGTTACCTGCAGATCAGCCACTGGCCTCTCAGCTCTAGCTCCCTCCCTCAGGCCTCGGGCTTAGGGTGCCACTCCCAGCCCTCTAAGAGGCTTTCTCTTGGAAAGGGAGAAGGGACAGGGCACTGACCGCAGCGCAGGGCCACGCTGGACCTCACAGGGGGGTCCCTGTCTCAGGCCCTCCCAGCAGAGCTAGATAAGGAGCCCTCTCCTGGGCAGAGGACACACAGAGCCCTCCTCTGGGGGACAGGGGGCTCCTAGTGGTGGGGGCATCGCCCTGCCCTGGAGAGACCCCACCCGCCCTACTCACCTCAGTGCCTCGCCTGCCCCCCACCCCCAGGCCACATTCCAGGAGGGGCTTCTGAGGCTTTCCCTGGATCAGGCTAATCTAGGTCGGAGAGCCTGGGACTGCGAGGGCGGGAGGGGCCAGAACAAAGGATGCTGTGTCCCTGGCTGCCAGAGGGTGACTTGCTGGTGGTCCCAGACCTTGGCCACTGCCACCCCTCCCCCTCTGGAGAGCCCCCCCCACCACTTCCTGGGAAACCTGGAGTGTCAGAGAGACTGGGCCAGAGGTGGGTGGACACAGCCTGAGGGCTTCAGGGCAGACCTCGAGATTTGCTTCAAATGGGCGCTATGTGAGGGGCTGTGTGTGAGCGAGGCAGAGCGAGGCAGAGCGAGGCAGTGACCTTCAGGACCTCCTGGACCCCATTCTCCAGCGGGAGGCCTCCAGCCCCACCCCCCACCCCTGTGCCCCAAATCAGACACCATCAGTCCTGCGCTCTGTCCTCTTGCTTTATTTCTCACGTTTACAAAAGTTAAACAGGATGACATATGCGGGGCGGGGAAGCAGGTGCACAGGGGCTCCTCCCTACTGGGGCAGAGAAGGCGGAGGGGGTTGGGGTGCACGCGGCAGGCCCCCAGGGACAGTGCTGGGGCCCTTGGAGGGGAAGAAATGGTCCTGTCCCCCCGTTCTGCCTGCTTTAGTTTGAAGGTCCCGGACCCCAGGCCAGCCCTCTTGGAGCTGCTCAAGCTGAGGGCACGGTTTGGGGCGGGGTAGCCACCCTGGGATCAGGACCCCGGCTTCTCGGGTCCACTGCTGCTGCTGCTGCTGCCGCCAGCTCTGGGCAGCCCCCGGGCAGGTGTGGGGGGACGACCTCAGCCCCCTGCCGGAGGAAGGCGTCTCAGCGGATGAGGGGCGCCGAGCGGTCGTTGGTGACCGTGGGACGCAGCTTTACCGTGGCGAAGGGGTTCGTGCCCCTGTGAGGGGAGAGGTCAAGGTGAAAGGGGCCCAGGTCTTCAGCTGCCCACCCCTACCTCCTGCCGCCAATGGCCACCTCCACTCACCCCTGCCTCGTCTCTCCCCACAGCCCTCCTCTGAGTCCCGTCCCCTCCAGCTCCCATCCTAGAACTCACCGAGGGAAGAGCTCTGGAGGGTGCTGCTCCCAGGACATAAGTTTCTGCAGTGGGGGTGGAGGAAGGGCCAGGTTTAGGGGAGAAAGGGGCAGGGGAGCCCCTGCCTCTGCTGTTCTCCATTCCAGGAAGGCAGAGGACTAGACCCGTGGCTCCGGGCAGCACCAGGCTTCTGGGAAACAAGACTGGGTGTCCTGAAGCCCAGAATTCTGTGGGTTTCAGATGTGAGAAGCCTGGGCCAGAGGACCACCCCCCAGGCTCCAGCTGCTCTCCCTACACCCCACTCCTCACCCCAGTCCTTCCCAGACAGCTCTGGTCCCAGCTTTGACCCAGGATCCTGGTCTTGCCTCTCCTGGGAGGTGGGAAGGACAGGACTTTTCCAGGGCTCCCAGCAAGATGACGGGGGCTCCAGTCCCTGTCCCCCTCCCTAGATTCAGAAGTCCATCCCACACCTCCCCTGCAGATGGGTAAACTGAGGCTGGGGTGGGAAGGCCCCTTGCCAGCCAGCCAACCAGTGGCCAAGCAGGGAGGGTTACCTGGTCTCTGGTCTCCCTGCCCATCAGATGAGCCCAGGATTGGAGAAAGGCTAGGTGTGTGCGGGGCAGGGTGGGGGCGCTCACCTTGACATCACTGGCTACTCCTGGGCTGCCCATGCTGCTCTGGCGGCTGTCGGGCAGGGGTGTGGGTGCAGGGCTGGGGGCATGGCTGGGGACGTGGGTTGGGGTCCGGGAGCGGGACTGGCCGTCCCAGTACTCCGAGGGGGCTGTAGAGTTGCCTGGCCGGTCCAGGAGGTCATCAAGGCTGTGGCTGCCCCGGAGTGGGTAGGATCTGAGTCCAGAGGAGGGAGGCAGGGGAAGGGGGTCAGACGTCAGGCCCCTATTGCACCCCACCCCATCCTGCTGGCGTCCCACAGCCTCCTATAGGGGGCTGTACCAGGGGAGAGGAGGCCACACGGGCTTGAAGTCAGTCCCAAGAGGAGGCAGAGGGATGGATGCAATGGCTTTCTCCTGGGGGGGGGGGACCTCCTCTTCCAGGGTACAAAGGAGGCTGCGCCCACTGAAGACAGCCACTCACAGATATCCCCTTGGGGAGTGGGGCCACCACCCCTGCCAGGTACCTGGAAGGAAGCTCATTCATAGGGCTCATCGGGTTCATGGAGGTCACCGGGTTCAAGGGGTTAATGGGGCTCACGGGTACTTCCTCCAGGGGCTTCACATAGGTCTCGGGGAACCAGCCACTCCTGAGGGGTGCAGGCAGAGGGGCCCATAAACAAAAGGCCCAGAGACAGTGGTCACAGTCCCACTCCCGAGAGCAGTTCTGGAGCCGTGCTATGTGCCAGGCCTGGCTCGGAGGGCTTTGCCCAGACTAACTCATTTAATCCCTTGAGATCTTTCTCGACATGCAAGTCCATCCACCCAGCCTCATATCCTGCCAGGGGCTGGACCGCCTCAGGAGCCACTGCAAGTCCAAGGAGGAAAGCAATGTGTCCAAGGACACGCGGCAACCCGCTTCGTTCCCTGCTCGCGGAGCACCCACCCCGTGAGGCCCACAGAGAGCCGGGCACAGCTCCTCCACCCCAGAGGCTCCCAGCCCAGTGGACAGACAGATGTGCAAACGGATGATGACAAGGGTGACTGGGAAGGGGACAGGGCAGGGGCTGAGGACCACAGGAGAATGTACGAGCCCAGAGGAAGGGGCGCCTGAGCCTGAGGCGCCTGACTGCCAGCCCCGTGCCCTTCCGTGCTCTGCCCCCACTGCTGCTCTTGGAGTCTTTGTCTGGCTGGAGGCTCATTACTGCACCCCTAGAGAGGCTGGGGCTGCGGGAGAGGCACTTTGATCAATGTTGCTCAGCTTTTTCAGACCCCTGGGACCCCTCAGGTTCCTGCGGAGCCCTTGGGAAAGTGCTCTCCAAAAAGGCCCCCTGAGACCCCAAAACGCAATCAACAACATTCTCACCTAAAGGTAACTGGAAGCAATTTCCATTCAAACTGATGGAATAAAACCATTTCCTTATGTTTTACCTCTGCTCTCACTATAAAGGGCCTACTGACAAAATCTGCCGTCTCCTTCCCCGCCCAGCGACGCACGGACAGAACAGCCGTGTGACCGGGTGAGAGCGCGGGTCTGGGTGGCTTCACAGTTGGGTCTGGGGAAGTCCACTCCACGCCACTTGTGGGGAATTTCAGGGCAGCCTCTACCTTTGTGGGTCCACAAAGCAGGGATTTCGAGCCCTTGTGTTTGTAGCCATCTCTCCCCGCCAGCCCATGCTTCCGTATTGGTCCCTGCCATCCTCCCTCTATCCACGCTCCACCCATCCACGACCCTGTGGGCAGCCACCCACGGACCACTGGTCCCCAAACCACCCATCAGCTTGTCTCCCTGGGTGCCCCCTACCAATTCGCGCACATACCTTTCCAGTCACCCCTCAGTCTGTGCACCCCAGCCCCATGCTTCCACCCTGCCCCAACCGCTCGGCTCATCCCTGCCTACCGACCCGCATCCACCTGCCCACAGAACCAACTCCTGGGCCGCCTTCCACCTGCCCGCTGCCCGCAGCCCCACACCACGCTCCTCAACCCTCTGCCTGTCCCCCGTCCACTGACCCACACCACCACCCTTGCAATCACCTTCACGGGCACCTGCTGACTCCTCCTTCTAAGACCTCATTCACCCCTTATCATACCCCGCAGCATGAATGGCAGCGGGCACCACGCAGTCTCCTGCCCATAAGGCCCATGGGGGTGACTGCCTGGCTCCAGCAAGCTCCCACCGCCCCCTTTTCCTTTGGCAGAAGAGTTATCCTTGCACACTCTTTTTTGGCTTTCAACCTCTGCCTTCTGCCAACCTTGCAGTGACCACAGCGTACTTCCCCACCTCACGCCTCCCCTCCTGGTGTCAAAACCAAGCCCAGTTTGCAATCTTGAAGGTTCTTCCCTGTCCCTGACTGCAACTCAGCCTCCGAGCTCCCAGCCTGGCCTCTGGCTCTGGCCTGGGGGAGTGCCTCCAAGTCCACCATCTCCATCAGACCTCCAGGGACTCTCAGGGTCCAGGCAGGAAGCTGCTTCTCCCTCCATGTGGGGCACACAGTAAGCGCCCAAGCAGTGGGGCTCCTGCAGTGTTCGGACAGGTGAGAGAACCTTCCCATTCCTCCCAAGGGCCTGTCCTCTTCCTATCCCGCCAGCTGGATGAGGACACGGTCTGGGGTGGGGTGGGGGAAAGGGGAGAATTGTCTGGGTCCCGGGAGTGGAGGTGGCCGACCAAGGGGGACAAGTCACTGTCGGGGCAGGGGAGCCCAGACCTCCGGGCGGGCCCCCTTCCACACCCCCCCGCCCCTGCACCCTGGGGGTCCCACTCACGCGGAGGAGCCCTCCAGCTTGCCGTAGAGCCAGCCGTTCTGGGCCTCTGGCACAAGCACCTCCACGACGTCTCCCGCCGAGAAGCGCAGCAGCGTGTGGCTGGCGCCCTCCGAGTGCGAGACGAGGGCGCGGACCCTCCGGGCGCCCCCGCCCCCGCCACCCGGGCGCTCGCCGAAGGAGTTGGAGCGGGAGCGCTGGGTGCCGCTGGCGTAGAGCGAGGCTGCGGGGTGGGGCGGGGGCGCGCAGCGGGTGAGCGCTCCGCCCCCGCGGCCCCCTCCGTCCCTCTTGCTGCAGCGCCACCTCGTGCCTCCCCCCGGGCCCCGGGTCCCCCGGCCCTCCCTCTGCGCTCCGGGGCCACTCACAGGCGGACGGCGTCCGCGGCAGCGACCGGCGATCGGGCTCCAGCTGCGACGCGGACCTCGCCTCGACGGGCTCGGGGCCATAGGAGCCGGAGCCGTGCCGGCTGCGGGGGGAGCTGAACTCCGCCAGGGGCCTCGGGGGCTGCGAGGGGAGACGGGCAGGGGAGGGTGGGGCAGGGAGGGGGGCGCCGCGGCGGCGCCCTAGTCCAGCCCCCACCCCCAGTCCCGGACGTCGGCGGCGTAGGGGTTCTCGGGCCGGCGGCCCAACCACCACGGGGGCGCCCAGATCGCGCCGGGGCTGAAGGCCGGGCCCCGGGGCGCCGCGGAGACAGGGAACCTGGGGGGCAGGAGGCTCCAGGCGGAGGGTCGCAGGCCCCAGGGCACCGCGGAGGGTGCGGGGACCGGCGGGGGCGCGAACGGCGGCGGGGGCGCCCAGGACCTCACCATGTCCAGGCGGGTGGGCGTCAGGCGGCCCGAGGGGTAGGGCGGCCCCAGCACGGGGCCCAGCAGGCCCGGGGAGTGGGCGCGCGACGGACTGCGACTGGCCTCCGACTGCTCCTTCCACAGAAGCACGCGGTTCTGGAGCACGCCCCGGGCCTGGCCGCGTGGGGACACAGGCGTCAGCCGGCTCCCAGCAGCCCCCAAAGTCCTGGGGCCCCAGAAGCGGCATCCTAGACCTGGGAACTCGGGCGCCCCCGTAAGCTGAGGATAACTGGATTTTCCAGCTGGAAGGAGCTAGAGATCGCTTTGGTGTCACTTGGGACTCGCCCACCGTCTAACTCTCCCCCTCTTTCGTAGAAGGCCCCTCACTTTTCCTTGAGGTGTTTTCCTTGAGGTGCTTTCCTTGAGGTGCTTCTCCAGCCCCTTCTCTCTGCCTGTGTGCTTTGGCCGGGCTCTACCACTGCCTGGTACATCGGTAGGCTTAGAACCCGGGCCTGGCCACTGTGATGGACTCAGGGATGGCACTTGCCCAGAAACTGTGACCAAAGAATCCAATTCCAGTACTTATCCTGGGACAATTGGGAAAAATATTTTCTTGGACCTCATGGGCTTTGCTAAAAAAAGAGTGAAGCCAACACAGGAAGCTACAACTAAGAAAAGATGGCAAATTTCCAAAGACCTGAGCTCCTGGATCCAGCTATACTTGAAACCCTTGAACTTTGTAGTAACTCAAGTGGTAAGTACCTTTGCTGCGAAAGCCGGTTTGAGTCATTTCCTGGAAGAGGCCTTTCAAATACAGTTTTCCCAGTCTATTCCTTTTAGCCTACATAGGCGTCCCTAGTGTCCCTGGTACATGGGCATCTAACTCTGTTTGAATACTTTCAAGGACGGGAAACTCAGCTGTTGACCACACAGTCCATAACAACTTGGGGCTGGGAGGGCTTTAAAGGTCAGACCAGCTACATACATGAATCATGTTTTTAAGTTTCTGTATTTGATGATGTTTTGACATCCTGAGCCTTTAGCAATCCTGCGGGCATTGTCCCTCCTAGGGCTAGATAATTCCTAAAGATAGTAAGTGAGTTGTTCCTGTGACAGCACCTTTCCATGATTCCTCCCTTCTGTCTGGCCCAGCTGGTAAAAATCTCACAGGGATCTCAGGCAGCAAAACAGAGGCCACTCACATCACAGGAGCAACTAGTCCCATTGGTCATTAGTCGGACACCCCCTTGGTTGCCTTGCTTAACTAATGAACAAAACAGCACAAAGCCAAAACTCCAAAGGTCTTTGTGTGCTGGCCACAAAAGCAGTATGCAAAGCAACATTAGGTATTGCATACCATATTTTTAGAAGGGTTTTTGTCCAGTTTTTTTCCAGTAGAAAGCATGCCAGGGTCCTAGGGTGTTCTGGGAGTAAAGGCCACAGCACCAAGCCCCAGCCTGGACAGCATCCAACTTCCCTGTCCTCCCTCGGCCCTGCCTCCAGGGGGTTTTGCCTGTCGTTGGGAAGAAACACTGTGCAGGCTTTCAAAACCACAAGGAGACCACGGGAGAAGTTTTAAAAACATTTATGGAGCAGAAGAGTCATTCTAAGTATGCTACAGACCCCATAGTCTAGAAAAGACCAAAAAATTTGACTAAATAAAAAATTTTTTCAACACGGCAAAACCTACAGTAAGCAACGTCAATTGATAAATGACAAACGGAAAATATTTGCAACTCATCACCGAGAAAGGAGTAATTTCAGTAACATATAAAGAGCTCCTAGAAATGAATAAGAAAAAATGGAGGAAAAGAAGATGACATGTCCTAGTAAAGGACATCCAATGGCTTGGAACCATGAAAAGATCTGTCTCGCTTATAAGAAAAGTATAAAATAAAACCACACGGAGATGCCAGTTTTACCTTGCTGATTAGCAAATATTGAAAAGTTTGCTTTCACACTGTTGTCAAGGAGAAGGGAATCTTCTACAAGGCCGGCAGAAGGGTAAACTGGGACAACCAATGCCTAAATTCTTGGAGTTGCCAATTCTGTTCCTAGGAATTTATCCTGAAGCTAGACTTGTACAAGTCCAATAAACCTGGAGAAGCTGAGGGCGAGGTGGGCAGAGGTATGTTATTGACAAGACGTGGACTCAGCCAGGACTGCGTATGAGAGGCATGTGAGAGTGACCCCTTGCTGAGCCCAGCCCTCATCCTTCTTTAAATCTTGCTCCAAATCTTGTGCATTCTGTTTATAGATAAAGTGATGGGTAAATATTTATGCTTGACTATCTTAGGAGTTTGATCTTGAGTGTCCTAAAGTCTAGCTGGGTCAGTCAACACAATAGCTGTTCCACCCACTGCCTCATACCTAGGGGAGGCCTAGCTTATTCAATCCACAGCCCTCTCCAGAGGGGTGATCACTTAGCAGGAGACAGCCAGGGGAGGAGTCAACACTCCTCTTAATATTGGAGGTTAACTGTCCAGGACACAAGCAAAAAGGAGCTTCCCCCCAAAGAAGGTACTTAAACAGCCAGGAAGTACCGGAAAATATATTCAGCATCACGAGCCATCAGGGAAATGCAAATCAAAACCATAATAAGATACCACTTGACATCCACTAGCATGGCTAGAATCAAGAAGACCGACAATAACAAGTGTTGACAAGGATGCGGAGCCACTGGAAAGCTCCCAGCTGCCAGTGGGGCCGTGAAATGGTGCAGCCACTTTGGAAAGCCGTCTGGAAGTTCCTTAAACAGTTAAACACGGAGCTACCCGATTCTCAGCAAGCCGACTCCCCTATAGCCATGAGGAATGAAAACATGTCCACACAGAAACTTGTACATCTATCTACTATAGCATTATTTATAACAGGCGCAAAGTAGAAACAACCCAGACGTCCATCCACCAGTGAATGGATGAATAAAATGAGATGTCTCCAGACGACGGTATAGCATCTGGCAGCAACGAGGAACGAAGGACAGATATATGCCCCAACACTGAAGAATCTCGCTCCCGGCAATGCGTCGTGGGAGAAGCCCGTCACAAAGGACCACACATTGTATGATTCCATTCATATGAAATGCCCAGAAGAGGGACATCTCCAGAGACAGAATGTAGATCGTGGTGGCCTGGACTGGAGTGGGGGTTGTGGGAGGACGGGGGAGGGTTGGGGAATGATCATTAAGTGGGGTGTTTAGGGGGAATGCGAGTGTTCTAAACTTGATTGTACTGATGGGTGCCCAAGTCTGTGAATACACGAGGCTCCACTCAGTTGTACGCTTTACATGGATGGACTGGATGTCCTGTGAATTACACAGCAGCATAACTGTTTCAAAGAAGAACAGGCAGTTCTCCCTGGAGCATCAGTCTCTGGGAGAGAGGAGGGGCTGGAGGAGAAGGCTGAGCCCTGAGCCGGGGGCTGGCTCTGGTGGGGACAGCGGGAGGATGTCAGCCAGAGCCGAGATCATATGAATGGAATCATACAATGTGTGTGGGGGGTGGAAAGAGCTCAAATTGCAGAACAAGGACAAATGAAATAGACGTGGCGAGGGAGGAGGTCATAGATGTGGAGTTCTAGAAGAAGGAACGACGGCAGAGAGAATAGTTAAAGAAACAGAAGAGGAAACAGCTCCCTGACCTGAAGAAAGACCTGAGCCCACAGAGTGGGGAACACCCGAAGGCACTCATGTAGGGGACACCCAGACAAATTCCCGAGTCCCCAGGACTCCAAGAAAATCTCCAAGCATCCAGAGAAAGAGGCAGTAACTTAAGACGGAAACAAGACAGACCGGCACCCGATTTCACATGCACAACATAGAGCACCAGAAAATGGGAAACGTCCTCTTGGACCCCAGGAGAAAAAGCCCACAGCTCTGGAGCCCTTCAACCAGCTGACATGCCGCTCAGCACTCGGGGTCAAAGTGAGACTTGCACGTATGTGTGGGTTCGGGGGGGCAAGTCTGCAGAAAACATTCAGTTCATCAAGACAGAAACCTCAAGACAGCGGGAAAGGAAGAGTGAAAACGGTGCTATCAGCATGTCTGATCACGTGGTTAGTGACTATCAGTGCGAGTGGCTGTGCACCAAGCATTGGGACTATACATGGTCTAAGTGCAGTTTCTCGAGATAGAAGGATCATGCTGCAAAGAAAGGACTCATGAGAGTCTAGACCTGAAAGTCTTGAAGTTTTTTGGCAAAACCAAGAGCTGGGGGTCAGGAAGGATAAGGGGAGGAGTAAGGCCACATATTAGAGTGCCATGGAGGGCAGGAAAATCCTTCCCCAGGCCTCATCTTAAGAGGTGGGGGACCACCATGGACAGAGTAGCACCGGGGGGTATCAATATATTTTAGAAAACACAAGAGATGAATCGATGTTACCATGAGGGTCACGAGGTGAGGTCATCACGAAGAGAGATTAAAAGACAGTAGGAGGGGCACCTGGGTGGCTCAGTGGGTTAAAGCCTCTGCCTTCAGCTCAGGTCACAATCCCAGGATCCTGGGATTGAGCCCCATGTCGGGCTCTCTGCTCCGCAGGGAGCCTGCTTCCTCCCCCCTCTCTCTCTCTGCCTGCCTCTCTGCCTACTTGTGATCTCTGTCTGTCAAATAAATAAAATCTTTAAAAAAAAAAAAAAAGCAGTAGGATTTGCAAGTGAATAAAGGAGAAAAGGCATCTGTGGTAACACAACCAAAGTGACAAGAGCAAGGACGGGAGAAAAAGAGGAAATGACTAAGTAAAATAAAACAGGTCTATCCCTTGTTGGGTAAAACTGGGAATGAACTGAATTCCTTTCTTTGAAGACATAAGCTGTCAGACTGGTCAAAAGTAAAAACTGAGGGGTGCCTGGGTGGCTCAGTGGGTTAAGCCTCTGCCTTCAGCTCAGGTCATGGTCTCGGGGTCCTGGGATGGAGCCCCGCATCGGGCTCTCTGCTCCGCGGGGAGCCTGCTTCCTCCTCTCTCTCTCTCTGCCTGCCTCTCTGCCTCCTTGTGATCTCTGTCAAATAAATAAACAAAATTTGAAAAAAAAAAAAAAAAGAAGTGTTCACAGAAGAGAAAGGAGGGTAATTTTAATCTCAGACAAAGTGAAATGAAAAGCATCAGGCTGGGTTATGAGATGTTAAATACGTAAATGGTGACATTTACAGAGAAGGTATGATGGTTGTAAACCCAATGGCACTGAACACCATGGTAGTTAAATACAGAAAGCAAAAGCCACTGGAAAGCCAACAGGAAATGAGTGAATCTGATTGGTCTAGCAGATGGAACAGAGCAATAGCACAGAGGATTTGAACGATAAGATAAAAGCAAAAAGGCCATAACTAGATCTATGAACTGATGAATTTGCAAATGGTGAGTCCACGCAAACAGGGATGAAAAAATAAACGGTTCGCACGTGAGTGAATAAAGGTATGAATTCGTGAATGAACGTGAGAATAAAAATAAAATAAAAATCATGAAGGAATAAATGAAGGAATTTGTATCTGATGATACAGATAAACACAGAAACAACCAAAGAGATAGGGAGAGTAAACAATGAATACCCACAGAAAGGAAACACAGAAGGAAATGGGTGAAGGGAGGGAAGTCCCTGCGGGCAGCCAGCTCCCAGAGAGCCCAGGCCCTAGGACGGCTGCACCAGCTGTCCCCCAGCCCCAGCTCACCCGGCCAAAAAACTGCAAGAAGGTGTTGGAAAGCAGCAGGTGCTTCTCGGCCAGGAAACGATAGCGCCGCTTCTCTTCCAGTTCAGCTGCCCGCTGACTCTCAGACACGAAGGCTTGCATCTGTGCGTGTAGCCGGTTCACACTCTCCTGTGGGAGAAGCGGGGTCGGGCTGGGGGCAGCGAGTGGATGCCTCAGCCCACCCTCCACAAGTACCAGCCATCTGAAGCCTCCTGTCCTTCCTGAACCGGCCGTCTCTCCTCCGGGAGGCCCTCCCGGGAGCACCCAGCTCATCGGAGCTCCCAGGCCCACCTCTCACGGGCATCGTCATCCTCCAGACCCTGAGCTCTGTGTCTGCCCAGCCGGGCCCTTCTCACAGGCAGGGCTGGTGTCTGAGCCGTCCCTCTGCCCCCAGCCCACAAGCATAGAGAGGGGCCCAGGGAGGTTAGTTTAAGGAAATGTGAACAAGTTGATCGAAGTCCCTACTTGGGAGGGTAGATTCTGAAGAGGAGGGATAAGAGCTTAGTAAAGGAGATAGAAGTCTTGAAGACCAAGGCCAGGGATGGGGCCCTGAGCTTGGGAGGAGGACTGGCCCTCGCCAGGGGTAGGGGAGCATGGCGGGGGCAGGAGGGAGCAGAGGATGGTGTGGCTGCTGGGGAATTACACACCTTGGCTACTGAGATCAGGAGCAGCATGGCTGATGGCCTTAGGCTTTCTCCAAGAAGTAGGAGAGCCGGGCAGTGACCGTGCAAGGTTCAGCGCTGAGGTGGGTCTGAGGGCTGGGGGCGCCCACCCACCTGGGGCCGGCTGACCTCCCTCGCCGTGCTCACCACAGAGCATGGGGTAGGAGGCCCTCCTGGAGTTGGGCCGGCGCTGGGCGGGGGAGCTCAGGACGTTGTCAAGGGGTCCCCCCAGAGCCTGGTTTGTCCCCCAGCCCTTGCACCTTCATCTCCCGCACGTTCTTGTCCCTCTTGCGTTCCATGCGCCACAGCTCAGACATGCACTTCTCCAGGTTGGTGGCTCGGTGGTGGTACTCCCTCTCGTAGTGCTGGCGGCTGTCCTTGGGGAGGGTGGAGAGAGGAGGGAGACCCCCATGTCAAAGAGCTCAAGACTCCGGGTCCACTGGTCAGAACACTGGACAGGGTCCCAGGGAGCTCAGCTGGAAACACAAACAGCCTGGCGCTAGTCAATGCCCAGCACAGGGCTTGGTGTGCTCATCCACCAAATGGGGAGAGGCTGTCTTGCCTGTGATGGGCTGGGGGGTCAAGGTGGGTGGCCATACTTACTTTGATGAACTGCATGTCCAGCTTGGTATTATTCTCCATGTGCTGTAGCAGATCTCCGTGGAATGTCTGCACCTGTGTGGAGTGCAGGGTGGGGGTGATCAGGGTGTTCCTAATCATTCCCAGGCCTTGGCATCCCTCACACTGCCCAGTCCAATACAGCTCACTGTGTTCCTAACACACCAGGGACCTGCCCAATTGTTGGAGAAAATGGACATGAGACAAGGACCTGGTTGGAGGGAAGATTAAATGGTTTGGTATGCAAACAGATCGTGCAGTAGACGGCTGGCCACACACCCTCCATAAATGTATCAGAGTCTTCTGGGTCTTAGTCCCAGTCTGTGCTTTGATGATGCCATTCCTGCCACCTAGAATTTCCTACCAGACCTCAAATACCAGCTTCCGTGCCCCCTATACAGGAAGTCTCCCTGACTTCGCCCGCAGAATCCACTGTGCTCCCATTTTGATTCTGGAATGTATATATATTTGTTCGTTTAATTTTCGTTCCTCTAGCCACAGGACAGAATCTCTTGCTAGGCCCCTGGTCATAGCCTCTCAAGCTGCTATGGACATGAACCTCATCTGACCCTTCTCTATGTCCCCAGCACCGTGGGCAGGGCCTGACCCAGTGAAAGTGCTCACAGCTGCTGAGGTCTTAGCTGAGGGTTGGCTGGTTTCCACGATAGGTGAGACGGAGGAGGCTGACCATTTGGGTGACCAGAAAGCCAGGGAAGGCTACTGGACTCAGGTTCAGAAGAGCTATGTCCTCGGAATTCTGGTTCTGCCTCCGATTTGCTCTATAACTTTGGACAAGTTGCTGCCCCCTGTCTGGGCCTCAGTTTCCCCATCTGTAACAGGAAGGTCTTGGCTAGATGCTCTTGAAGGTCCAGCTTTGTAAGCCCAAAGAGCTTTGATTCTGTGAGCCTTGGTGCTTCCCCTGGACGCCCCCATCAGCATTCCTTGGGTCACTGTGTGTTGTGGGGACATCAGATCTAAACCCTTCAGCTGCACGCTTTGCTCTTGGGTTCACAGGGAGCAGAAAGGAGTGTCCCCCATCCTGCAGGGGACCTCTGCTCCTCCTCCTTTGTCTGCACCCTCTTTGCCCTCCCCCCAGAACCCGCAGGGGATGCTGCCAGGCTTGCTGCCACAGGGGTCCCCAGGCTGTGCTGGAGGCAGGGGTTCTGTGCCTTGGGGTACAGCGTTGCCCAGAAGAAGAATACCAGTAATCTTCTTCCAGTATTCAGGGAAAACCAATCAATTATAAAAGTTGCCAATTTTACATTTTTCTCCTGCAATTGTTTCGGAAACCCTAGTAACTGCTGGTCTGTAGGGGAGCTTGCTTGTGGCCCCCTCAGGACGGGCCATGCCTTGAACCCCAAGCCATGGCTGCTAGGGTGTGTGTGTGTGTGTGTGTGTGTGTGTGTGTGTGTAAGGGGGTCGGTGTTAGGAACAGTGCCAAGACCCCATATCTGTCCTTGTCTACTGGATCCTGCACCTGCGGGAGCTCCCAGGGCGGCCCCCAGGGCACCTCACTTGCCCCTCCTCTGGCCCTGCTTCCCACTGAAAAGGCAGTCCAAGGTTTCTGCTTGAAAACCAAACATGTGTTCTTGAAAATCCCCGTATCCTGCAAAATTGCCCAAAACCAACAACAGGGCTTATGGGAGATACAGGGTTGGAGGCGACCCACAAAAGCCAGGCAACTTTGTGACCAGAGCACTCATAAAGATGCTGAGTGGTACCTGGAGATGAACTTGAACCACACCGAAGGCTACGGAAAATATTTAAAATGCACAAAACCCACAGAACGGACGCACCAACTCCACCTAGGTTCCTGGAGAGCCGATGTGCTGAGACAATCTGGGAGGGACATGGGGCTGTCACAAAGGTGGGCAAGGGAGGTAGTACAGCCTGACCCCAGCTGAGAGCCCTGGGCGGCTGGGAGCGCTCTTCCCAGGGAGGCCTGGGAGCACGAGCTCTTTTAAAATGTTCTTAAGGGGCACCTGGATGGCTCAGTCCTTAAGCATCTGCCTTTGGCTTGGGTCGTGATCCAGCGGTCCTGGGATCCAGCCCTGCACTAGGCTCCCTGTTCAGCGGGGAGCCTGCTTCTCCATCTCCCACTCCCCCTGCTTGTATTCCCTCTCTCACTCTCTCTCTCTCCTGCCAAATAAATAAATAAAATCTCTTTTTAAAAAAGTTCTTAAAATACAGGTTAAAGGGCTCATGCTATCAGTGCAGCAGACAGGCTGGGGACTTTTCCCTTCTTCCTAATTCTGGTTGCCCTATCCATCCCACTCTTGCCTAGGAGACCTGGCTTATGAGCAAGCCACCTTCCATGTCTCAGATGTCACTCCTTCTGCTTCCATTCAGGTATGAACTGAGTCACCCCATAGATGTGTGTGTTAGAATGAGACTGCTGGGTTGTAATCCTTCCCATTGCTATGGCTTGGCTACGATCACCAATTAGATGGGACCCAGGCAATACTGGGTCAATGGAAAGTCTTCATTAACTTCCAGAAGAATATCTATTAAGGGGTTGGTAATTTATGTGAACTTGAGCTCTTGCTTTGGGGGAACCATAGGACTATCTATTAACAGGTGGCTTCTGAAACAAGGAAGTCATCAACCCCAGGCAGACTGAGGAATTCCCAGCAGGTCAGAACAGAGACTGTCCTCCCCTGCACCCCCTCTCCCAGCATATACTTCATTAGCAGGTCCTGTGAGTCCCTCAGTACAGAAGCTGAGAGCAGACCCAGACCCACTGTGGAAAACATGCACTGTAAGCTCTATGTTTTGAGTTATTCCAGTAACTCGCAAGAAATCCTTTTGCCACCTATATAGGAAACTCCCCCTAACCCCCACCCCAGAAGAATTGTCCCTGTGAGCTGACCCGACTCCTGTTTTCCAGTTTACTCTTGAACCCCCTCCAGTCAGGCTGTGCCCCACCACTCCAATTAGAAAGTTCTCATTGAAATCACTGACACACCACGTCACAAAGTCAACTCACAGGACTCCTCTGACAAGTCCTGTGGTCATCATTTGACACAGTTGAACATTTCCTCCCCCTGAAACACCTTCCTCCCTTGGCTTCCAGCCTACCACCCTCTCCTGGTTTTCCTTGCACTCCCCGTCCCCCATCCACCCACCTCTTCTCTGTCATTTGCCGATTCTCCCTCACCTCTTGATCCCCCATGGCCTCTTTCTTTCCCCTCTTACACCCACTCCCTCCATTAGCTCATCCGTCCATATGCTCCCAGATAAACAACTCCCAAACAACCCAGCCTAGACCTTGACTCCAAACTCCAGCCTCATGTACATGCAACTGATACTCACCTCTCCAGATGGTTTTCTAATAAGCCTCTCAAACTGACCATGTCTAAAACTAAATCCCTGATCTCTCCCCTCCACCCAAACCGTTCCACACTTAGTATTTCCCACCTCAGATAAAGGCAACTACACCTTTCCAGTTGATCAGGACAATATGCTGAAGTTAGTTTGACTTTCCCTTTTCTTTTGCAACTGACATCCACTCCATCAGAAAATCTTACTGGCTGATTTACATTCAGTCTGATTTCTTCTCAACACTACCACTGCTGCCACTTTCCCAAGCCATCTCAACCCTTCCTCTAAATTGGTCTTCCTGCTTCTGCTTTTGCCCTCCACTGCTGATATTATATTATTAGTACAGGAGCCAGAGCGACAGGTCAAACAATGAACAACTGGAGGATGAAATGTAAAATTTCCAATTATAATAGCTAAAAAAAGCCATATTATCTAGGTACGAATCCATCAAAAGATGTGAAAGACTGCTACCCTGAAAATGACAAGGTGTTCCTATGAAAAATGAATAAATGGAGAGGTATACCATGTTCATGGATCAGAAGACTCAATATTGTTCAGATGACCATGAATTTATAATTTTTTTTTGAAGTAGGCTCCACTCCTAATGTGGGGCTTAAACTCATGACCCTGAGATCGAGAGATGCATGCTCTACACTCAGCCAGGTGCCCCTATGATGGCCATTAAATCATAGATTAATGCAATCCCTGTCAAAATTCCAGCAGGTTTTCTTAAAGGAATTGACAAACTGATTCTAAATATGAAAATGCAAAGGATCTTGACTATGCAAAACAATTTTGAGAAAGATGAACAAAATTCTTAGACTAGCTGATTGTTTTAAAATATTTTATTTATTTAATTGTCAGAGAGTGAGAGAGTGAGTGCACAAGCAAGGAGAAAAACAGACAGAGGGAGAAACAGTCTTCCTGCTGAGCAAGGAGCCCAATGGGGGACTTGAACCCAGGACCCTGGGATCATGACCTGAGCGGAAGGCAAATGCTCAACCCCTAGTCAAACACTCCTAGACAATTTATTTTAAGACTCACTATAAAGCAACAGCAATTAATACAGTTGTGGTATTGGTGTAAGAATAGACAAATATATCAATGGAACAGGGTAGAGAGCTCAGAAATAGATCCACACATAAAACAACAAATCAAATTTTGACAAAGACATCAAGTCAGTTCAATGGGGAAAGCGAAGTTTTTTTGAAGTGGTGCTGGAACAACTGAATGTCTATACGGGGGGAAAGAACCCCCGGTTCTATCTCACTTCATACACAAAAGCAAATTTAAGATAGATCATAGAAATAAATGTAAAGTCCAGAACTTAGAGCTTCTATAAGAAAATTTAGAGTATCTTTGCCGTGGTAGTGGGAAAAGATTTCTTAACAAGGATACAAACACTTTTTAAAATTGTCAAAGTAGGGACACCTGGTGGCTCAGTAGGTTGGGGGTCTGGCTTCCACTCAGATTATGATCCCAGGGTCCTGGGATCGAGTCCTGCTTCGGGCTCCTTGCTTAGTTGAGAGCCTGCTTCCCTCTTTGCTTGCCTCTCCCTTTGCCTGCTGCTCTCCCCTGCTTGTGCGCTCTCTCTCTCTCTGCCAAATAAATAAATAAAATCTTTAAATAAAATAAAATAAAATAAAAACGTCAAATTAGCAGAGGCAGGTGTTTGCTGTTGCCATAGCATTAGTCCCATGAATTGTAAGGTAGTTTACGGAGTTAAAACAGATTCTGCCTTTTGCAAATGAAAACAATAAAATAGACAAATTGGGCTTCCTAAAAATGTAAAAGTTCTGCTCATCAAAGACACTATTTAGAAAATGAACAGATAAGCAATAGGTTGGGGGGAAAAAAAACCCTGTACCGTGCATATATCTGATAAAGGACTCCTAACTTGACTATATAAGAAACTCCTATAAGTCAACAATAAATATAATGGGCAATAAATATGAATGGGCAAAGTGCTAATGTCCAATAGGCCCATTAAAAGTCTTTGATCATTGGCATATGCAAAATGAAACTACAATGAGGTACTTTCCGCACCTTAGAGAACGGCTAAAACAACAAAGATGGACAACATCGAAGGTCGGCAAGCGCGTCAAGCAGGAGCAGCTGCACAGATCGTTAGCGGGGCTGTGGCTCGCACGACGACTTTGGAGAGCCCTTTGTGGTTTCCTATAAAGCCAATATATGTCAGCCTCATGTCCCACAAATTCCGCTCCCAGGTAATTACCCAAGAGGAATGAAGACATACATCCACAAAAGACTTGTATAAGAATGTTCACAGCAGCCCTAGTCATAGTAATCCCAAACTGGAAACAACCCAAATGACCACCAGCAGAAAAAGAGGTAAATTGTGGTAGCTTCCTTCGGTGGCATAGAAAGCAATCATACAGGACAACGTGCCACTACCCATGACAGCATGAAGCCATCTTACAGACATTATACCGGGTGAAGGAGAAGGTTGCGGAAGAAAACATATGTACAATTCCTGTCATATGAAGTCCTAGAACAGAAAAAATGAATCTCCATTTTGACAGAAATCAGACAGTGGGTTGCCAAAGAGGAGGAAAACTCATTTTTAATGAAAAGAAAGAAACGAGAGTGAACGTTGATGGGGAGAGTGTTTGGGGGAAGGGGGTGATGAAAATACTCTAACATTAGATAGTGGGAAGGGGTTCAAAGCTCTGCGACTACATTAAAAACTTCTGAATTGTATACTTAAAAGGGGTGAATTTCAGGTTGATATTATATATTTAATATATAATAAATACAATATATATGAGATTATATTTTTATCTATTATTTTATATATAGATATACCCATGATAGGAGTTCTATTATGGGCTCTATTCTTGGTCCAGGTATTAAATCATAACATCTGGAAGTGTTTGGGGGGAAGAAATGAGGAAAAAAGTAAACATAGTCAAGAGGAAGGGACAGATGTTGAAGATAAGTTGCGGAGATCTAACATACAGATAATAGGAGTTCTTGAAGAAGAAATGCAAAGACAGAGAACAAAAACATTCTAAAAACTGTGATTCAAGATAATGTTCCTGAAATTACAAAAAAAAAGATTTAAAACTACTTATTGCAAAAGTACACCATGGGACTGGTAATATGGACCCAGATGGGTCAACACCAAGACATGTCTAGAAAAATTACTGGACTGAAGAAAAAGAAAAGAAGAAAAAAATCTTGGGCATCTAGGCTGAGAAAGCAAGTAGATTTATGATGGGAAAAAAATAGATCATCAGACTTTTCAATAACAATGTTCAATATGCCATGTCAGAAGCTGACCGGAATGTCCAAATGCTTTCATTCTCTGTATCCTCGAGAATCAGGGTTCTTTTTTTAAAAAAATTTTTAAAGAATTTATTTATTTGAGACAGATACAGAGAGAGAGAGAGAGAGAGCACACGTAGGGGGAAAGGCAGAGGGAGAGGGAGAAGCAGACTCCCCATTGAGCCAGGAGCCCCATGTGGGGCTTGATCCCAGGACGCCAGGATCAAGACTGGAGCCAAAGGCAGACCCCTAACCATCTGAGCCACCCAGGAGCCCTGAGAATCAGAATTCTTGATGAAGACCAGGAACAAAGGAGACGCCGTGTAACCCATAGGAGGCTGAGCAAAGCAAGACAGCCAGAAAGCCATCAGAACTACTAGGGTCCTGCCCAAGAGACTCGGGAGCCCGACTGAGGAAGCGTCTGGTGGCCGAAGAGGGAGACGTTTTCAACTTAGCTGAAGACAATAACATTGCAAAGGACTGAAATACATCAGATGTGTTTAAATCTACAAATACTGATGGTACTAAAAAATACTACAGTAAGTGCAAGGAAAACACTACAGTCAATGGGTCACCTTCAGAGGATGACAGGGAGCGCGTTCATGACCTTAAAATCTAATGAGTGAGGAGAGTGACTGAACCTTGATCCTGCTTCTCCCACACAAAATGTGCCACTGGCAGCAAAGAGTACGCAAGGAGGAGCGTCTCCGTATAGAAATATCCCGGTTAATGGGTAAGAGCATCAGAAGAGCCATGAACTCCCGCTGTAGGGATGGGTCTGGACACACTGAGCCTCCGTGGTTGTTAATATCACGTGGCTGCAGATGCGACGAGGCTCCCGATGGAAGAGCCCAGAGCTCTCTGTGGTCTTGCCAGAGGGAGGGAAGAGCCTGGGTCTGACCAAGCCCCTGCGTCCAGAAGACAGAGGAACAAGATGAACTACCCCGGGAATGTGAGATTGGAAGTTTCCAGATGGCAGGAAAACCAGTCCTAGGGCCCCAGGATCTTCAATAGACAAGTCATAAGGGAAAGAAGGGGATCTATTGATTGGAAAACTCAAAGGCATATTTGGAAAAAAGAGACGGCACATGACCAAACTCCAGCGTCTAGGGATGTATGCCCGAGTGGTCAGCTACAAAGGAGCACAAGGGAGGGTCAGATCTGTGGTCACTTTTGGAGGGAGGTGGGGAGGAGGGGCTGTGATTTTGATAGAGGCACAGGGAGGGACTCCCAGGGAGGCTGGCACAGTTCCTGACCTGGATGGTGGCTTGCCTTAAAACGATTCCTTAAGCTCTAATTTACTCGACGAGATGTTCTCTGTCTGTGTTTTCATTTACAATTAAGAAAAGTCAGATCCTGTCGCTCTTTGGCTGTGCACACTCAGAATGGCCAGAGGCAGGTCAAGGCCACACCACAGGGCTCTCGTCATAGCCAAGTGTCCCCTCACACATACCTCCGCTAGCCTTTCCGAGCTGTTACCTCAGCCCAGAACGCCCTTCCCACACGTGTCTCCCTGGCTAACACCCTCCCCTCCTCCAGGCCTCTCTCAGTGTCCCCTTCCTAGGGCAGTTTCCTGGAATATTGGTCAAAAACTGCAGCCCTCCAACACTTGCTAGGAGCCTTCCCTGCTTTGTTTTCCTCCGGAGCACGTTTCGTGTCTAACCTGTCGTGTATATACTCAGTTGTTAGTCTTGTGTTTTGTCTGGCCCCTCTCTTGGGGAGGGCGAAGGTTTTGTCTGCTGTGTCCCCCGTGCCTGCCACAGCGCCCAGCACCCGGCGGTGCAGAGCTGTCGAATGAATGAGCCCACGGGCCAGGCAGTGTCGGTGGTGCTGGGTCCCGTCCGGCTCTGGCTGAGGGCCCTGCCCAGGTGTCTCAGCCAAGATGCAGGTGCCCAGAGAGGGCAGCTCTCTTTACAGAGACAGCCTGGGTGACACGTGTCCTCATCCAGCCCAGGATGTGCCACGAGAGACACAGAGAGCCATCAAATCCGAGGATGGGAAGCCACAGGCGGCCAGCATGAGCTGTGCTCCTGATTCCCCTCCTGAGCCCAGGGCCGGGGCATAGCTGAGCCCGAAGCCTGCAGGTGTCCCAGAGATGGGCCCCGGACCAGGCTTTTATCCTGGACAGATGGATGCACGTTTTTCTGCTCCTGCAACTGTTCCCCATTTCGACAAGGTAACCAAACTGCTGAGTATTGTCTGGTGTCCCCTAAAGCGCACCTTGACTCCCAAGGGTTCCCCACACACACGTTTGAGAGCCACGTGCTGTCACAATGAGCTGACATTTCTTCCCGAGCTTTCCAAGACCTGTCACCACCAGGCCCTCTCCGGCTCCATCCCAGCTCGCCATCCTTGGCTCCCTCCTGAGCCCCACGCCCTCTGGGGACGCCCTCTCCTCTCCTCCCCGCGTGGCCAGCCCCCACACTCTTTTCAAAGCTTGTTCTTTCCATCCAGAGCGGGTGAAGCCCTGCTCGGGGCCAGGCCCTGCCCCAGCCCTTGCAAGGCTCCCAGTCTGGCTCCCAGATAGGCCGCCAGGTCCTGCTGCCAACATCACCGTGAAGATGGGCGGAAGGCAACTAGTTTTATGAATTCCCTCGCAAGAGTCCTGCCGGTAGTTACGATCGTCTTCATTGTACAGACGGATAAGTCAAAGTACAGAGAGGCTTGTTCAAGGTCGCTGGTCAGGCGCAGGTGGTGCTGGGCTGATAGAAGCCGGGTGCTGGGGCTGCAGAGCTCGCGTTCTTAACCACGCGCGCTAAGAATGCACAGAGGCATCCGTTAGGGTCTAGAAGAAGCAATGAGCTTGTCCATGGGTCAAGGGGGGCCTGTAAGGCGCTGGCCAGCAAGGCTGGGGCTGCTTCGAGGCTGAGCATGAAGCCTGCCCAGCGGTAGGAACGCCAGGCTGTGTATGCACAGGGCTGCTCTTTGCGGACTGGGGGTGCCACAGGGAGGCTGCTGGGTCGGCCGGGCCTGGCATCCCTCACTGAGAAGACTGAGTTTAGCTCTGTGGGGTTTTCTTATGGGTGTGACAAGGTCAGGTGCTGCTCCCTGGGAGTGTGGAGGGAGGGGCTGGAGGGCCAGAGAGGAGCAGGGCCTGGCTGCGTGCACCTGGGCCCTTCCTCTGCCTAGCTCCTGCACTCGTTCTGGAACTGGGGGCAAGGGACTCGAACTCTGAGTCTCAGTTTCCCGGTCTGTAGAATGGAGATAGAAGCGGCGGCTGCCTCCTGGGGTTGCTGGAGGCTGGAGCAAGCCGTGGCAGGTGTACACGCCCCGCACAGCCTGGGCCTGGCAGGTGCCTGGGACACTTGTGCCTGTGTGTCACTAAGGGCCGCAGGGAGCCCTCCCTGAGAAAGGCTGTGGGGGGCTGGGCCTGCGACTTCCTTGGAACGCAGCCCACTCCCCTGTATGATGCCTCAGGGCCGCGCTACTCACCACCACCTCCAGGTCGGAGTTCAAGTGCCGCTGCGTGTCCGACATCTGCACCAGGATCTCCCCTGGAGGCAGGGAGAGCAGCCTTCAGTGGGGGCAGCCCATGCCACCCACCCTCCTCCTGACAGAAGCTGCCACAGGGGCTCCCTGAGACGGCATTTGGAGGCCGAAGTCCAAGGATTTCCTATATGGCTCTGGGAGGATGGCCATGCTTATCTCCGCACTGGAACAGCCCCTCAGGGAGTGGCGGGGAGGGGCTTGGGCTCCAGAACAGGATTCCAGGCTCTGGGCTGGCCCTGGGCCACCAGGCCTGTGGCTTGGGGGGATTTCCGGGACGGGTAAGAACCCAAAAGGAACCCTGTCTGGGATCCCCAGCTGGCGGGCCCGGCTGGCCCTGGGCCTGAGGGACAGCACCAGGGAGATGAAGGGTCTGGGCAGCAGGAGGTGGCCCCGGGCGGACATAGGGCTGGGAGGAGAGCCCCTCCAGGCCCAAGAAAGAGTGGGGGCTCTAGTGGAAGGGGGAGCGCCTCACCCAGAATCTGTGAGGTAGAGCTCTGCAGGGCCTGCTCCCCGATCTTCTGGATGGCGTTGAAGTACACCTCAGCCGCCTGGGACAGAGCTGCGTGGGGACAAGGGGTGCCCGTAGCCCCGGCCCCTCCTCCATCTGCCCCTGCCCTCTGGAGACCCCTCCTGGCAGGCGAGGGTGTGTGGAGGGGACGGGGGCGGGGGGCGGGGTGCAGAGGCATCTGGGAGGGGGGTGTCCTGGGTGGTGTGTGGGGATGCGGGTGTTGGCCAGGGGAGGAAGCAGGCGTGGAGTGGGGCCCAGGGCAGTGTGTGTCCATCACGGGTGGGGGCGCAGGCGTCCGTGTGTACCCACGGAAGGGTGTGGGCAGATGTGGTGTGGTGCACAGGTGTAGGGGCGTAGGGGGAGCGGGCTGGAGGAGCTGGGGAGGGGGAAAACAAGCTTTGATTCCAAAGTCCTGAAAGGCAGGGAGGGCTTGGGTGGCCCTCGGCTCCGGGTGTGTCCCTGGCTTATCCTTGGCACAAAGGGTTGCAAGCCCTGGCAGGGTGATTAGCCTTGGTGGAGCGGGGGTTGCTGGGAGATGGGGGAGGGGTGGCTGTCAGTGTGTGGATGCGGGTACCAGGCAGAGTGAAGACACAGGGCTGCGGCGTAAAGCCAGGCTCACCGAGGTGGGCCTGGGTGCAGCAGTGGGCTCACGGGGCACATCAGGGTGACGTACAGAGGTGTGTGCAGTTGGGGCCGTGGAGGCCGCCAGGACCAGGCACTGCGTCTCTGGGAGCACCTTGGGGGTATCTGAGCAGCAGGCAGAGGCGGGTGTGGGGTGTGTATGGGTGAAGGTGCTGGGTGGGAGCGTGGAGGGACCAGGTGCGCGGGGACAGCGCAGGCGGAGGGGCTGGGGGCCTGGGGCCGGACACTTACCATGGAAGGCCCGCAGGTAGTTGTTCCCGAGGTACACCAGGTTCTCCAGGGCGGGGTTAAACTGGTCCGTGATACTCTGGAGCCCCAGGCCACCGGGAGGGATGGGGAGGATGGGGAGAGGGAGAGGGAGAAAGGTCGATGGGCAGAGGCAAGTCACCGGGCCTCAGGAGCAGGGAGCCTTCCCCCCACCCAGCCCCAGAGAGGAGCCTGACCCTAGGGGCACCTGCCTAGAAGCGTGGAGTCAGCCTGGATCCTAACTGCAACAGGGGACTCAAGGCCATTTCCCCGAATCCCTGTTCCGTGCCAGCTCCTGCTCACATGCCTGCCCGGGCGGGAACCTGCTCCCAAGACCATGCATCTAGAAGGTTCTCCTCCTCCCACCGGGAGGAAACTTGTGGGTCTGTGGTTGCCCCTGGCTAGGTGTGCCCCAACCCGGCACTGGGTCCAGGCCTCGCCAGGCTGGACACATGGGCATCCGACGGTCACCTCAGGGGGCAAGGACAGATCTTGCCCTCCTCAAAGAAGAGCCCGTTGGCGGCAAGGCTGTGGCAGGGTCACAGGCCACCTCAGGCTACAGCCAGTTGGAGCGTACCCTCGGGGTACAGAGAGCCTGGGGCAATGACTTAGACTTGGATATTTGTTCAAACTGCTGAAGCCTTTCTGGGAAGTTCAGAGACCTTGAACAGATTCTTTAACCGTGCTGGCCTTGGCCTTCTCATCTACCCTTTAGGGTGATTATCTTCTATCCTACAGGCAGGGCGTGTGAGGCTTACACGGGAAAGGGTCCTGCACACAGGAGGTGCTCAATAAAAGTCTACAGGGACAGTGGCAACCCCTTGGGAGTGAGGTAGAAAATTTGAATGAGGGGCTCAGAAAGGAGAGAAAGACAGAGACAGGAAAAGAGAAAGAGAGAGAGAAGGACGCCCCAGTCCTAGGCCAGGTGGCTTGCTGGGCTCCCCCGTTGCTCCCCCTGCTAGTCACGCTGGGCCCCATCCTGCCTTGGTCTAGCATCTAGGCAGGCTGTCTCAGTGGGCCTGTCGCTCACTGGGTGACTGTGGACAAGCCACATCCGGGCTAGGTGGCTCACTGTCCCCAGGGATCCCCACCCTTGAGCCCACAACCCCGCCTGGCCTGGGCCTTCCTTTCCAGAACATGCTGCAGTTGTGCTAACCCTCTGTCCTCCAAAGCCGGTCCAATCTTCGAGCCCCAGGAAGGGGTGCTCAGACCTGGGGCCCGGGCCACACACTCACCTTGTAGATAGCCATGGTGGACCTGTAGAACTGGTCCATCTCGGGGGCCATAGAGTGGGCCGCAAGTCAGGTGCTGGGCAGGAGGCTGGAGGCGCTGGCAGGGCTGGGAGCGGGGAGGGGGGAGTCGGTCCCCTCCAGTGCCCACTGCTTTGAGGGAGCGAAGAAAGCTACAGAGTGGGACCTGAAGACGGAGGCCCTGTCGCAGGGGGTGGCGGCTGGGGAGGAGGTGGCAGCTTAATTATTCACCAGCCAGGGATGTCAGAATGCGATCTGGGGCGTAACCAGACCCGGGGGAAGGCATCCTGTGACGCGGGCAGGTTCGTGTGACCTGTCCTTCAATTATTTACCCCTCGGAACCGTGGGACGGTGGGCACACGTGGATGTGGGCCACTGTCTCAGGTCACCTCCTCCTCCAGGTCTAGCTTCCCCTAGGCCAGCAGGGACCCCTGCCCTCCCATCTGCCCACATTGGGCATTGCCCAAATTATAGGGCCAGAGATGCTGGGGGCCCTCCCCTGGGACCCTCCCTGACAGATCCAGCGCTGGAGGCTGAATGTACCACTGGGTGTCATGGCTCTCTGGTCTTCTGTCTGCCCAAGCCCCTCACGCCGCACCTCGAGGGCCAGGGCCCCCCCATTGGCCGCTGCCTGCCCACCTCCGCTCATGCTGGCAGCAGGAGCCCTAGAGCCACACAGACTTGGGACAAAGCTTGGCCTTGCTCGCAGGCTGTGTGACTATGCCCAAGCCCCCTACCCTCTCTGGGTCTCATCTCCTGCTCCAGCAAATGGCACTCGCCCTCACCTACCACCGTGGGCAAGTGGGCTTGGCAGCTGCCTCTGAACAGCTTCACTTTTGGCCTGAGCGGATTCGGGGAGGCCTGGGGAAGAAAAGTGGTGCCCCCCCACCACTGGGGGAGTCCCGGAAACAGCACTCATCCAAGGGGACAGAGGACCATGACAGTCAGGCTGAAGGGAGCTGGGGGGTGGGATGGGAGCACTCATGGCACGGCACACATAACACAGGTGAACCGGAATCAAACCATTTATTTCCAGGGGAGACGCCCTGGAGCCCTGCCCCCTTATGCACCACTTCGGGTTGGGAGGAATGACTGAAGTTACAGGAGTGACCTTTGAGAGTCGAGCAAAGCTCCAGGGTGGGGCAGCTGGGAGGGGTGCGGGTGGCCGGGTGTGTGCTGAGGGGCAAAGTCAGATGAGGAATCCCGCTCCTGGAGCCTAGGATTCCCCTGCTGATGAGTGAGTCACAGCCTGTTTCTCTGACCGCTGTCCCCTCCAGGGAAGAGGGTAGAGGGCGGAGGGCGGAAGGGGTCTTGATGGGGGATGGGTAAGACCCCCTTAGTGTCTAAATCAATAGGGCTCGGGGCTCAAGGGTCAGTTGTCCTTGGCTGTCAGGGAGAGGGCCCCGAGTGAGGCTCGAGGATTTCTAAGCCTAGAATGACAACAGGTGCCAGAAGGTGGGGACAGTAGGGTCAGGCCCTCGGGACCAGCCTAAGGCAGGAAGCCCAGCGCCCTCTGAGGCCTGGTCTGGTCTGCAGACGCGGAGCCACCCAGGCCCCGTTCTGCCCAGTGGCACACAGGGTGGACATCGCCTGGCCTCTCCATCAGGGGCTGGGTGGCTGTGATGACGTGGGGGTAGCTGGGAGCCCAGCCTCACGGTGAAAGCAGCAGCTGAATGAGCTTCTGGAACTGTTCCCGATGCTCGTGGATATAAACCTCAGTCTCCCACAGAGCGTTGACCAGCACTGCATCGCTGACCTCGTCCAGCATGATGTCTGTCCCCAGCTGGGGGTTCAATCTGTCTGGGTCAAGGAGGAGGGCTGAGCCCCGGAGGCTTGGCTTGGGTGGGGGACAGGAGTGAGGACCGGGGCAGGCTCGGGGTGCAGAGCAGCCACGTGGGGAAAGGGGAAGTGGGCACAGAGGGCTGGGTCTGGCACGCTGGGGCAGGGGGTGGGGGTCCTCACCTGAAGTACTGGATGTCTACCATCTCGCACCAGGCCCGGGCCCGGTCCACGGCCCGCCCATCCGGATCCGTGCACTGGCAAGAAGGGGTCTCTGTGAGCGTTCAGCGCACACCGTACCCTGAATCACTGCCCAGGGATCCCCAGGCTCTAGTCTGGCTTAGCCACCCCACCCCCAGCAGAGTCCCCCTGCCTGGGCTGCAGTGACTGTCCCAGCTGTGGAACAGAGGGGCACGGGCGGCTCAGCAGCCCCCGACTGCAGGGGGAGGGGAGCAGGGGCTGAGTGGACAGGCCTCTGCGTCCCGCCCCCTGCGGCTTGGGTCCCATGGCATATTCTGGGCTTCCACATGGGGCCGTGTTCAAAGAAAGGGCTTCATGGTTAAAAAACGCCTGAAAGCCCCGGGGGTAGGTGGTCACTAAGGGCCAACACTGAGATGGAATCGGGGACCCCCTCACCTCAGCGGGCTGAAGACCTTCAACAGAGCCTTCCTGACACCCAGGGTCCCAGGGACTGAGACCCAGAGGCCAGCAGAGCTGGGGAGCAGCCCGTACTCACACAGTCCACCACCATCTTGCCCAGTTCCTTGGCCCCAAAAACAGTCTTGGCCAGTTCCCAGGGGTTGCTGGGACGGAATACATCCACACAGGTCACGGGCACCTGTGGGGACTTCCCTGTCCCCAGAGAGACCACGATGGAGAGCTTCTTCACCTTGTTGCGCTGACCCTGTTGGGGACAGGACAGGGGTAGTTGGAGGGGATCTTCCTGCCGGCAGACCCTTCCCCAGGTGGCAGGGGCAGAGCCTATCCTGTCCCCTCCTTTGCTTCACAACAAGCTCCAACATGCCGGGCACATCGGCAAGTCCCCCCCCTTCCCCCGCCGGTGGGGCTCAGCCACCACAGGAGGCCACTCAGGTGATGAAGACCCTTCCCAGTCCGAATCTTGGGGGTCCCTCCTCCTCCAGGAAGCCTGCCCTGCCCTGTCTGGCCCCTAGAGGGTGCCTGCCTCTGTGACCGCTGCTCCTGCTGTGTCACCCAGGGGCTGCATCTGGGGCTCCCTGATGACCACGGTGAGAACCGCAGCCAGCAAGGCTCTGGCACCCTAGGGGTCAGGCAGCGTCCTATACATTTTACAGAAAAGCACGCGGGTATCTCATGCCAGTCCCCACGCTGGTACCATCATACCCCATACAGTGGCTGGAGTGAAACACAGGCAGAGGCAGGACCCCAACCCTGCAGCCAGAGTCCTGAGCCTACGTCCCGGCGCTGCCGCTAACACGCATGGGCCTTGCCCCACCTCTGTGCTAAGCTCCTCGGGCCGAGGGCTACTTCTGTTCCCCGGGATCGCCGACTCAGCACAGTCCGCCCCCGGAGGCCTCTTCCAGGGGCCCTTTTCGAGTGCCCTAGTCTCTTAGCAGAGGCGGTTCTGCTCCTGGACTCCCGCACAGCCCTCCACCACAGCACCCGAAACCCCTGGAGCGGCATTTACAGTCTCCCCAGACATGAGCTCCCCAAGGGTAAGCATGTGTCCCCAGGCTTGCACAGTGGCCAGCACTGATGCTGGCATGTCCTGGTGTGCCCGCCACCCTCCCTCCTAGGTGCCCCTCACCACTCACACCAGATTGGGCCTCAGAGTCCCTCTGATTAGCTCAGAGCTCTGGGCCATCACCCATCGTGCGGGTTCAAGTGTGAGATGGAGCTGCCGTCCCACGCACCAAATGAACGGGCTTAAGAATCAAAGCCACATGCTCTCCTAGGAGGCGATCCTTCGCAAGATTTGCTCAAAGAGGTCAGCTCCCACAGCCGGTCATGTCCAGGCCCCTCGCACTGGAGGTGCTCTCACCTTGCGGATCATGTCCTGGTTGTACTCATGGATCTCGGTCATGGCATCCAGCGTGGGGTTGTTGGCCAGCAGTCCGCCGTCCAGGAAGCGCCCATTGGGCCGGAAGTAGGTGGGGGCTGCCCCACTGCTCCGGGCAGCCCGCCACACCAGCTGCTCTGGGGGGTGGGGTGAGGGAAGACGGTGGCCCAGTGGCACCAGGGGACTGGTACAAAACCCACGCTCTGCAGAGCTCCGTGTGCGTGTGGGTCTGTGGGTCTGCAGGGAGAGGAAGAGGCTGGGAACTCTTCAGAAGCACGAACCACAGTCCGTGCCCTCTAGCCCTGCTGTCCATTGGAAGGCAGGGTACAAGGGGGGGCCTCCGGGGGACTCCTTTAGCCTGCCCGAGGCAGGAGAGCCCCCCAGTTCTGCCTGCCCTCAGCGGACGGACTCGGGGCAATGGCTGGGATGCTGGTGAGCCAGGGGGACCCCGGGAGCAAACCTATGACTCCGACCCTCCACCCGACCCCTTAGGCTCATTGTTTCCAGAAGACGCATCAGACATGGTTTTAACCTGAGGGCTGAGCTGGAGGCTTGAGGTTAATATTCTGGCTGAATCGAGGCTCCCGTACAGACTCCGGAGCGTCATAATTCCGAAAGAGGTGGAGTTCAGCAGGTTGCCGATCAGACAGCGTCCCTGTCAGCATCACCCTGAACAGGAACAGGGGGAAAGACAGCTGGTCACCGACTTAGCCATCCCTGAAAATCCACGCTGGCAAGTTTCATCCAGATCACCAAAGGCATCATCCTTACACCCAGCGATCCTGCCCCTGGGAGTTCATCCTAAGACATGCTCGTGCACGCAGAAGACGGGCACACGCGAAGTTATTAACAGGTCTGTTCAAGCAAACCGCGGAAACAGCGGATATGTCCACCAGCGGGATGTTTCAATGGCTCCTCTACCCCAGGGGGTCTGTGTCACTGCGGGATGACCGAGGAAGCACTTTATGTTCAGATGGGTGGTAAGCCCCAAGGTTTATGGTCAAGTGCAAAAAGTAAGGTTTAGGACAGTGTGTGTAGTATGCCACCATTTATTTAAAAATAAAACCTACCACGCTGAGGTACTTATTTGCTTGGTCAGAAGGACCCATGAGCAGAACCTAGGAATAGTGAGGGGCCTCTGGGGCAGGGGACAGCTTGGTGGCTGAAGCCCCCAGACAGCAGTGGGAGGAGACTTTTCATCATGGCACCTTTGATTCCTCATCAGTGTTTCACAATATGAGCCTATAACCTATTAGAGAAGACTCCTTCTTATCTCAAAAGACAAAAACATCCTTAAATAGTGCAAGAAATGGGGACTGGCACAGCCCCCTTGGAAGCTAATATGTACTAAGATCTTACATATCTCTGAGAATTTCATCTGAGAATTCCATTTTGGAAAATCTATCCCTAAGGAAGAATCTGAGCTACAGCAAGAGCTCCTTTTCTTTTGTTTTTTAAAGATTTTATTTATTTGACAGAGAAAGACACGAGAGAGGGAACACAAGCAGGGGGATTAGGGGAGGGAGAAGCAGGCTTCCTGCCAAGCAAGGAGCCCAATGTGGGGCTCGATCCCAGGACCCCAGGATCATGACCCGAGCCGAAGGTAGATGCTCAATGACTGAGCCACCCAGGTGCCTCTATAATAAGAGCTTCTTGCATAAGCTATTCAGTACAACGTAATTTATTACAGTAAAAAAAATGAACCG